CTTGCCTCAGCCTCCCGAGTAGCTGGGACTACAGGTGCCCGCCACAACACCCAGCTATTTTTTTGTTGCAGTTTGGCTGGGGCTGGGTTTGAACCCACCGCCTTCAGTATATGGGGCTGGCACCCTACCCACTGAGCCACAGGCACTACCTCTTCTCCTTGTTTATTGTATTTTATTTCTGAGTCTCACTGTCACCTTGGGTTGAGTGTTGTGGTATTACAGCTCACAGCAACCTTAAACTTTTGGGCTCAAGAGATCCTCTTGCCTCAGTCTCCCAAATAGCTGGGACTGTAGGCCACCACCACAATGCCCAGCCAGTTTTTCTATTTTAAGTAGAGACGAGGTCTTGCTCAGGCTGGTCTCAAATTTCTGAACTCAGGCAATCTGCCCATTTTGGCCTTTCCATGCCCTCTCCGTCTTCCTTTCCTTCCCCCTCTCCCTTGTTTCTCTTTCTCCTTCACTCTCCCTCTCCCCTTCCTTCTCTTGCTTCTTCTTCCGTAAACACTGTACTTTTATCTTACCTAAAACAACAATAACATTGACAACAATGCCTTAACATATCTCATACCGTAGTTTATAATCAGTGTTCTCAGTTTAAAGAACAGCCTTACAGTTCAAATTAGGACCTAGGTAAGATCCAGATATTGTATTTGTTAGATGGGTCTGCTAACTCATCTTACATCTATAACTGTTTCTCCTCATACGCTACTCGTAACCTTCCCATTGACCACCCAGGTTGATGGTGGGGAAGAGACTGGATCATTTGTCATGCAGGATTCACACATTTCAGGATTTGGCTAATTACATCTTTGTACGTTATTAAATCTTTTCCTCTGGCCTTCAAGTTTCCTGGAAAGGTATCTTGAAGCTTGATCAGTTTCAGCTTATTTATTTATTTATTTTTTGAGACAGAGCCTCAAGCTGTTGCCCTGGATAGAGTGCTGTGGCATCACAGCTCACAGCAACCTCCAACTCCTAGGCTCAAGCAAGTCTCCTGCCTCAGCCTCCCAAGTAGCTGGGACCACAGGCGCCTGCCACAACGCCCGGCTATTTTTTGGTTGTAGCCGTCATTGTTATTTGGCGGGCCCGGGCTGGATTTGAACCTGCCAGCTCAGGTGTATGTGGCTGGTGCCTTAGCCGCTTGAGCCACAGGAGCAGAGCCCCCTTTTCCTTTCAAACCCCACTTGTAAAACTGCTGCTAAATGGAGCATCTATTCAGGGCAACTTCAGTCTCTGCTCCTGGGTTACAGCCCTCAAATGTGGCCCAAATAAACCCTCCACTTATATTAATTTTGCCTCAGTTTTTTCCTTTAAGTGAACAAAAATGAGCATCATTGGTAGAGTCAAATGGAGGGACCTGCCCAAATAGAATCGACCCAGCCAAATAGAATATCCCACTCAAGAGAGCGGAAATGTGCCGACCCCGACCCTCCCCACCCTTTAAAATCCCCATCCACCTTCACCCCTGCACCGACTTTCTTCTCGAGCTCAGCTCACCCACACTCGGGTGGAATAAAGGCCCATGTTGCCCGCACAGAACCTGGGCTGCATTTCCTTTCATTTCCCATTTCGGAATAATCTTTTATTTTTGGTCTTTGACCTCTCAATTATGTTATCTGGTTGTCTCATTTTCAGTGATATTAAGATAGGCAAGTGAGCTCAGGACTGGCAAGTGAGTCTCATCCCTTTATTGTAAAGTTCCTCATCGGCTTTTTAGCTAATGGCTTCCGTAACTACTGAAGTTCATTACTTAGATTCATTATTTCATCAGGTGTTGAAAAACAGTGACTTTTTAAAATTCAGTCTCCATAGAGACCATCAAAAATTGTCAGTGTTGACTATATTGCGATACCCAGTCATGGGTATTGGGAAAAGTTTTCAATTTGCAAAACTTATACCTCAGATAATCCTCATTGGCTATGATTCTGCCACTGTGAAAAGCTGGTGATTATTTTTTTCTAATTCTATTATTCTGTCAGCAATTTTTCTTTTCTAAGATAAACATGGTAGAAGATATCAGCATTTTTATATTAAATTTGTGTACAAAAGATTTTCCCTCAG